ATCTTGTATGAGTCACACACTGGAGTGAGATTCACTAGGTCCCTGGAAGAAGCACAAGCAGTGGCACCTGTCAAGACCACCTCTGGTTGTGATGCCACTAACACAATGACCAAGGCAGGAAGCATAATTCCACAAAGGCTCTGTTCTAACCAGAAAACACCATCCCAAATGGCCAGAGAAAGAAAAGCAAAACAGGGTAGAAACAGGATGTGTGCCTATACTGAGGCAAATGATGACACGGAGACACTGCACATGTACTCAGTCAAGTGACCAGAGTAAAGAGACAACCTCCTCCTGTGCACATGCCAGAGCCCACACAAGAGAGTCTGCATCTACTATCAGTCAAGTGACTGAATAGAGCTATTGCACATATGCACGTGTAAGTGATATAGACGGTATACACCTGCACATTCTGGAGTGACTAGAGACACTCTGCACCTGAGCACACATAAGGAACAATGTAGACACAGTCTGTACCTGCACTCGTGAGAGCGATTGTACAGAGACAGACATTATTCACTACCCAATTTTAATTCTCCTTTTCCCACTCTTTAATTACTTGTCATACTCATGTTATTTTCCTTCTATTCAAAAGAATGATAAAAAGAATATTCAATGAAATAAAACAAGAGAAAAAGAATAAACTGCTGAATGAATTCAAAGAGACTACAACTACAAGAACACGAAAGAAGAATTCAATAAAGATACAGAAATACTGAAAGCACTGAAATTTTATAAAAGAAAAGCCTCAATAGATCAAATAACTCAGTGGAACACCTCACTAATAGACTAGATAAACAGTCAACAAAGGGGCTGGAAAGATGGCTCAGCAGTTAAAAGCACTGACTGCTTTTGCAGAGGACCTGGGACTCTATTTCCAAGGGGATCTGATGCTTTCTTCTTACCTACGCAGGCACTGCATGACATGGGTGCACTTACACACGTGCAGGCAATACATTCATACACATAAAATAATAAAATATTTTTTAAAGTAGATAACAAAATATCAGAGCTTGAAGACAAAGGAGATAATTAGGACATTCCGATGAGAGACTAGGGAGTACAAATATCACAGGGGAGATCTATGGGACACCATTAAAAGGCCCAATTTACAATCATGGACATAGAAGAAATACAAAACATGTATGCTAATGTTAGCTCAGAAAACCCTCAATAAATCTGGAAATTTTTCAGAATCTAAGAAGGGTTAGTTATCTAGATACAAGTGGTGTTTAGAACACCAAACAGGGCTGAAGATGGCTCATTAGTTAAAAGCATTTGCCTTGTAAACCTGACAGCCTGAATTTGATCTCCAAAACCCATGTAAAAAGCCAGATGTGGTGGAGTGCATGTGTAATTTCAGCACTCAAATAGCAAGATGAGAGGCAGAGAAATGGGAGAATCACTGTGAGCCAGCTAGCCTGACATCTATAGCATTACAGAAATAATAAGAGACACCCTGACTCAAGAAGCTGGAAGGAGAGAACTGCCTACTGAAAGTTGTCCTCTGACCTTCAAGTGCATGCCCACCTGTGGGTGCGTGTGCACGTGCGCACACACACACACACACACACACACACATTTTAAAAACACCAAATAGACAAAACTAGAAAAGAGTGCCTTATGCCATATTAGAGAGAGAGAGAGAGAGAAAAGAAAGAGAAAGAAAGAAAGAAAGAAAGAAAGAAAGAAAGAAAGAAAAAGAAAGAAAGAAAGAAAACACAAAAAGCTACAAGAGAGAAGCAGCAAGTCACATATAAAAGCAAACCCATCCAAATAACAGATTTCTTAGCAGGAACTTTAAAAGCCAGAAGGCATGATAGGACATATTTCAAGATCTGAAAGATAATTACGGACAACTCAGATTACTGTAGCCACCTTTCTTCTTAAGATGAAAAAATACTTTCCACATTAAACACAAACTAAAGGAATTAATGGACATTAAGCCAGTACTACAGATGACACTGAAAGGAACCCCCCAAGCTTAAAGAGAAATAGTGACACATGAAGAAAACACTGTACTAGAACCATAAGATAATGAGGATTAGAAAATAATCTATATTATACAAAAAACTCAAATGACAGGGATGAATACACACCTTTCAATAATGAATCTGAATGGAAACAGTCTCAATTCTCTGAAATCAAAAGAAACAGACTAACAGAGAATGGATTAAAAAACAGGACCTACCTATTTGTTGCCCAGAGGAAACAAGTATCACTGGCAAAGACAAACATCATTACAGTGAAAAGAGTGAAAACAGCATTACAAGTAAATGAAACTAGAGAGCAAGCAGATGCAGCAAAACTATTATCTGACAAAATAAATTTCAAGCCAAAAAATACTTGAGATAAGGACTCTCATTTCATCTTGATTACAAGGAGAAGATACTATAATCTAAACATATATGCACCTGAACATCTGCACATCCAGTTTTTTTTTATTGTTTTTGTTGGTGTGGTTGATGTTGTTTGAGATAAGGTCTCATTTATACCAGGTTGGGATGACCTAGAACTTCTAATCCTCCTACTTCCACCTTCCAAGTACTAGGATTATATCACTAGTCCCAGTTTACACAATGACAGGAATTGAACCAGAGCCTCATGTCTGCTAGATAAGCATTCTACAAACTGAATTACATCCTCAGTCCTAATGCACCCAATTTTATAAAACAAACACTACTGGATATAAAGGTACAGACTGACCTCAACACAATCAACAGTGGGTAACTTTAATATCTCATTCTAACCAACAGATAGCTTATTTGGACAAAAATCAACAAAGAAATAGTTGAATGACATTAAAGATTAAATAGACTCAGTACACATCTATAGAATATTCTATCCAGACACTATGTATTCTACAGAATACACATTCTCAGCAGTCCATGTGTTTTAAAATAGACCACAGTTTAGGTCATGAAGCAACTCTTTAACAAATATAAAGAATTGAAACAACTTTTTAAGTTCCATCTGATCCTAGTAGGATGATGCTAAAAATCAACAGCATGGAAAACTAAAGACATATGTAAAAACTCAGGAAACTGAACAACCCATGACTGAATTCTGACATCATCCAAAAAAAATCAGGAGCAAATTTTTTAAATCCTACATTCAAATGAAAACAAAACCACAGTGTGCCAGAACCTGTGGGACACAATGACAGGAGGGCCAAAGAAAAGTTTATAGTTAGAAATGCCTAAATTAGGAAAACAAGAACAAATCAAACACAAAATCAGCAAACAGAAATAAATAAAAACCAGGGCAGGCCAAACAGAGTGGCACATGTCTTTAAGCCCAGCACTTGGGAGGCAGAGACAGATGAATCTGAGTTCAAGGTCAGCTGGTATTTATAGGCTGAATATATTATAGGTTGAATATATATTGTTTGGGGGGTATATGTGGGAGGATCAAACTGAATACACTTTTTCATGTGCATAAAGAAAATTTTTAAAGGTAGAACATACCTCTTAATGGAGTATTTGAAAATGTGTGGGAATTTGGTTATAACAATGACTTGGGGATTTTTATTAGGGATATTCCAATATAACAAAAAACATGTCCTAGTCCAAACTATCAGTAAGCATGCGCATCACCCCACCCTCCCTACCTTACCCAAAATCTGTTGTAAACCAATTAGGCAGCTAAGATACATGCAAAAAAATTATAGTTCTGTTTTCCAGCTGCTATATCCCTACTCACATAATTCAGAGATATGGAGTAAGGAAAATGAAACAGAAAAGTGGGGATTTGGGGTTGGTTGAAACAGGGTCTTGCGAAATAACCCAAGGTATCCTGGAACTCTCCATCCTCCTGCCTTTACAGCCCATGTGCTGGGATTACAGGTATGTACTACCATGCACTGCTTGAGAAAATGTATGCCTAGTGCTTGCACTACTACAAATAAAGATATAGGTAAAACATACTGTGAGAGACAGGCCTGAGCCTAGGGTGAAAGTCTTAATGACAGCCATACAATAGGCCCGAGGCAACTGCCAGCTGACCACTGGAGCCACAAGAAATGCCTTGTGGCATTTGCTCCCATTGGCAGACCATGAGACTGAGCTCGCCACTCCCTAATCACCACCCTTGAGATCCCAAATTGCAACACTTAGACCACTTGGGTCACATGATTCCCAGGAAACCAGGCCCCATAAGGAAACCGGAACCTAAGTAACCTAAAACCCATTATGCTAATGAGGTGTCAGTCTCCTCACCAGCCCTGGGGTTGCAGAAGTAGCAATGACTGGAGGCAGCACCTGCACGCAAAAGAGCTGCTTCAGCGCTGCAGTGAGCAGAAGAGCTGCCTCAGCACACCAACGAGTGAGTGGAAGAGCTACCACAGCTTGCAGCCCAGCGAAGAGCAAAGGGCAGCGCCCGTGCGATCAGGGCGGCGCCCAGAAGGCAGTGCCCGTGCGCTCACAGGCAGCACCCGTGCGCTCACAGGCAGCACCTGTGCGATTGCAGGCGGTGCCCGTGCAAGCGGAGGAGCAGCGCCTGGAGACACCACCCAGCACCGGAAGAGTGGAGGGGTGGCCGCAGCTGGCAGCGGCCGCAACATACACTCTTCATTTTTATCGTAAACAAGCATTCACTAAAGTAATTTATCAAACATACTAATGGAGTTCAGGGGCTGGAGAGATGGCTCAGTGGTTAAGAGCACTGACTGTTCTTGCAGAGGACTCAGGTTCGATTCTCAGTCTCCACATGGTGGCTAATAATCATTTGTAGCTCCATCTCCATCCAGCTCCAGGGGCTCTAATGCCATCTTCTGACCTCCATAGGCATTGCACGACATAGGTATACTTACATACATGCAGGCAATACACTCATACACATAAAAATACTTTTTTTAAAAAAGCAACTTTTTAGAACTCAAACTATGTCAGTCTCTTCTCTATTTCTTTAAAGCAGAGCAATATTCTCTTCTTATATAAGTTCGGGATACTAGGTATAGAGCAGTGTAGCCATCAGTACATAACAACTTACAACCAACTCACCTTATGAACAGCAAAACTTGATTCATTTTTCTCTAATGCTCTTTTGGCATACTCTAGGGCTTCATACACCAAAACTTTTTTTTCCTCTTCTGAAGTTGTACTAAGCTGAGCTATGCCACGAGATGCACGGGCCAACCTCCACAGTAACTCTGCATCTTCACTAATTTAAAACAAAATATAAAACCATTTTAATTCATACTGAAAACATGTTAAAGATATCATCACTAATGAGTGATCTTTCAGCAGAGTTAGAATATAGTAACATGCGACTAAAGGCATTAAGTATTATTTTCATTCATAAAAACTCATTTGATAGAATCTATTGAAATTTCCCATATTATTCATAAATATTAACTGATTGATAGATAATATCTAAACTACTTCCTTAGGAAATGTTCTTATATTTTAGTTCCCTGAACACTTTTCCTACAAAACTCAACCATGCAACCTGAGGTTTGAACTAACATTGTACTCCATATAACTCACTAACTGGTTCAGATAGATACATAAACATTATAAACAAGACCATACTCCACAAAAATGGAACTACCAAATCCTAAGCCCTAAATACAACATTTAACACATAACAGATGTATGACAGGTATTTACTTGCATGTAAATGAATGACTGAACATAAGTGTAATCTCAAAATAAATCCTAAGTTTGAATACCATAATGATGCATGACATATTTCAAGTAAAGACACCACATCCCTTGAAGAACAGCTATTTAAATACAATTATATAAAACAAGAAATGGTTAATAAGTTAAAAATCACTATTAACTTTCTGGAAAAATGTGAAAAATTGCCTTTCTTTGGAATAAAAAAATTACTATTAACAAAAATATTTTAACCTTAAATTACTTTTTATTAAACACCTGTGTTTAACCCTACATTATATTTTTTCCTTTTTAATGAAAGATTGTATTCACTTAAAATTTGAAACTAAGGGGCTGTAGAAATAACTCAGCAGTTAGAGCACTGACTGCTCTTGCAGAGGACATGGCTTCAATTGCCAGCACCCACATGGCAGCTAACAACTGATGCGTTCTTCTGACCTCCAAGGCCACTACACAACATGGGTGCACTTACACACATGCAGGCAATATACTCATACACAAAAAATAAAAATAATAGATAAAATATTTTTTTAAATTGAACTAAATGCAGCAATAATATATATTAAGTTATATTGAGTAATTACACCTTACAGCTTCCTTTGGGGGCTATTACTATAAAATGTCAAAATAGCCAAATCAGGACAGACTAAAGAAAGATTGATTCTACAGATACCTATCAAGTAAAACTGATAGGAATTAGGGAAAACCCGGTTTTTCACTTTGAACAAAAGTAGATGAAAAGCAACTCAATATTTTTAGATTAAAAAGATGGAGATAGATATCTAGAAATTTAAATTTTACTTTGTTTGATGTATTTTATAGGGTTGAAGTTTCCACCTCTACCCTCCAGAAAGTGTGTACACACTGACATTCTAATACTATACACATGATCTAGTTCCAAAAATAGAAAAAGGAAGTGTTCTTGGTTGCTCTGAAAAACTTTGTAAACACAGTCACCACTCAATAGTACCATACCCCCAACCCCCAATAAATTAATTTAAATCTTATACCAATTGGGGATTACTTTTTTAAGAAATGAGAACTATATAATACATATGAGAAAATATATATTTAGTAATACATTCATGTAGAATAAGAACAAGTTTTTTTCTAAATCAATGAGATTCAAAGAATATTTTTCAATAATTTGCTTTAAATAAGTCATTTACTGTAAACTAAACTCTAAGGAACACTACTTTGAAGAAAAAAAATGCTGTAACAAAATTTCAAGATCAAGAACCATTTACTATTAACAGAAAATTGTGAGGGCACTTTAAAACTTCGCAATCACACACTGCCTACCTTTCCTTGTACTGGATTAGCAACTGATAGAGCTTTTCTGTTTCTCCACTTTCATACAAGTAGTCTGCTTGCTCAAGTACTTCTTCAACTTCAAGATTATAAAATGAGGGGGGGAAAAGGCATAATAAAATAGGTTTTCCTAAGGCAGATGACAGTAACTCTAAAAAACAAACATTTATATATGTGCTGACAAAACTACATAAAGAAACTACTTTTGAGGAAAAATCAGGAATTCTGAGTAATCTAGACAGAAGTAGGGTAGGAGTATGAAGAGATTATAGCAAGTGATCTGCTGAAACCATGGGAAACACAACTGGGAGAACTTGTGACTAAATTTAATACTCAATACTTTTTTTCTTTTTGGTCTTTTTGAGACATGGTCTCCCTGTAGCGCCAGCTGTCCTGGAACTCACTATGTAGACCAGGTTGGCCTTGAGCTCACAGAGATCTGCCTACCTCTGCCTCCATACATTTTTAAAAAGTAAAAAAATAAAAATTCTTGTGAGGAATTTATGGCACAGAAACCTGCAAAGTCTTTTTGCTACTGCTGTTAAGTATCATGCTTTGTTGATTAAGTATCATGCTTTGTAGGAAATGATTATAAAAACTACTTGCAGCACCGGATTTTATTAATATTAGTGACTTAATATAATTATTACAAGTTCATAATTATATTTTATACTTGCAGCACTGAGTAGCATTAATATTATAGTGTGGATAGAACCACACTGTTTTACTATATTCTGTTATGTAACACACATATAGAGTGTTATGGAATAAAGTTGAGCCTGTCACAAAAAACTAAGATGAAGCTAACTACACAGAAAATCTGAAACTTACTTTATTGTGACTGTGTTCCAGCCAATTCTTACAACTATTTTACACATGACTGTAAAATACATAAACATTATTGACAGTCTAGTGCTCTAAAAATTGGACTGCTTATTTACAACACATTAAAATTGATCTTCAGTTTTTACTAAGGAACTTATACATTTAAAATTTGCCTTCTATAAGAGCACCATACTATACAATCTTTATAAGTCAACATTCCAATGTGCTCAGTTTATTAATCTTGATTTATTTTAGTCACACTATATTTAAGGTTAGAAATTTATTTAAAAAATTAAAACATACTACACTAACAAGTCTATGAAGGTCATGACATAACTAATATATTACCTAATAATGTGAATAACAATGGCAAACACTAAAATTTAAAATATTTTAATTATTATTTTTATTTTACGTGTATGAATGAGTGTATTGCCTACATGTATTGTACCTGCCTAGGTACGCGTGTGTTGTGCAATGCCTACAGAGGTCAGAAGAGGGCACTGGATCCCCTGAACTGGAGTTACAGACTGTTGTTAGCTGCCATATGGTTGCTGGGAATCAAACCCGGGTTCTCTGCAAGGACAGCCAGTGCCCTTAACCGCTGAGCCATCTCTCTAACCCCAGAAACACTAAAATTTAATGAAGATTTCCTTTTTCTCAATAATTCTACTTCAATCTTACTAGGCAGTGGAGTTTAATATAGTCACTTGGCTGGTTAATTTATCAAGTTTGCTTTCATTCTATTTCATTTTATATTCTCATCTGATCAGTGGTTGATTTGTCAGTTAAGATTTTAAACACACAAAAATTTTGAAGCAGTAATCTCTGCATCCTTAGAATTAAGTAATTATACATATATATTATGTATATTTAAATCTCAACAGGCTATCCTGGGACTTATGATACTTCTGCTTCAGACTCCCACTTTCTCAGATTAGATATGTCCCACTATGAACAACTTAACAAATTTGTTTTAAGTTACCAAGTTAGTTAGAATAGTGACAAGAATATTAATACAGTATTATGTTAAATATATCACTTGGTAAATTCTGGTGAGCATGACATGTATAAACAGCAAAGTTATTATTATTCTACAACTTCCTGAAAATTAGTTACTGTACTTAACAATAATTCTGTATCTCATCATGCCAGTAATTAAAAAAAATAGTTTAGTAAATAATATAATCTTTTTGTATGTATTCTAGTAACTCCAAATCACTTGGTCCCAATTTCTTTATTATACGTTATAGTGTAATAAATAATACATTATCTGAAAAATATGTAATCTCTTCTGATTCTAAAAGGAATTCTGAAAACTATACAGTATATAATGTATAAGAAAAAGTACACTTATAGTACTATCGTCTTATATAGGTGCTCAAGTAGGAACATTAGACCACTTTGTGTACACATCTGCAAATTGGCTGTTGTCTACTTAATGTTCTGTGCCTTCCTGAAAATATTTTAAAATATGCTATGTTCCTGATATACAAACCATATTAAATCTAAACTTTTCAAGTAAATTACTTTCAGCCTAAAGTATGAATACACAGGCATCCTAAGATGAATTGAGATACAACTGTACAATGAAATATTAAATCTGACCTAAAGTAAATATGCAGAAGTTCCTAAAAATTCTGTAAAATTTTATCAAAGAAATAAATGCCAATGGTATGAAGCCTTGCATATCTATGTGCTAATAAACTTTGGTGTTCTAGTTGTTGATAACTGTATGTAGTCATATCAGAGTCATGGAGACAAGAATGAAATATCTAGTAGCTATTGCTCAGGCAAAGAAAATTGCTGTATTTCAGTTTTCTTTATATAGGGCTTAATACATGGAAAATATGTACACTGATATTCAAGGATCTATGTAATAGCAACACCATCCATATGAGGCCAATCTTTCACACCAGTAATTCTATATACCTTAGCAGTACGGGAAACAATGCTACTAAAAAGAATCTGAAAAATTACTTAAGTAGGAAGAAAGATATGTAGGTTCATCCTCAAAGAGGAAATATTTTAAAATATATGAAAAGAAAGCAACCGAAATAATATATGAAGGACTTTTAGGTTGTTCACTTGTGATTAACTTATCTTCTAAGTACTGCACAAGTGAACTTTCACATGCAGAGGAGTAGTGTGAAATCCTAATCTATCCTTCCAGAGTTTAAATGTGTCCATTTAAAAGAAACAATGTTGGGAGCTGGAGAGATAGTTAATCAGTTAAGAACACTTGCTATTCTTCCACAGCACTGGAGTTCAAGTCCCAGGACCCATAAGGCAGCTAACAACCATCTGTAACTCCAGCTCCCAGGGGATCCGATACCCTCTTCTGGCTTCTTCTGGCATTGCACACACATGGTGCATTTACATATATTCAGACAAAACACTCATACACATAAGATACAGATAATAAATAAAAGTAAAAAATAAAAAGAAATAATGTTCTTTATAAAGTTTTACTGTTTCTTCAGGTCCTGCTACCAACTGGGTATTTGCTGCCATCTTGTGGCAAATACAGACATTACCATTTTAAAAATGAGTCCTAGGCTAGGAATATAGCACAGTGGTTGAATATGCCTCATTTTCAAGAGGCCAAGCACCTTACCAAAAAAGGAAAAAGAAATTAATCCTATGGGGCCCAGAAAAGCCAGTCCTGCTAGGAAAGGACACACCATCACTTCTGCCATATCCATTGAGCACAAAGCAGCCACTCAGTCCAGCCAGTTCATCATGGAAGAGGACTACATAGGGAGGCATCCCAGGAGGTGGGCAGGGGTCTACAGATGGAGCCCCCCTGGAAACCAGCAATAACACTGACTTCTTTGCCATTTCCTCCCTGAAGACTGCCTAGATTCCCTTCATCCTCTTTCTTTCCTCTCTATTGGCTTAGAATATGGTCTATTATTGTTCTTTCTTCAGTCATTCTTAATTTTTTTTAACCTGTATACTGTAGTTAATCTGTCCTCTAGATACACAATGCCTCTGAACTCTGATCATAGTTCCTGAGTCTTACTGTTTTCCAGCATGTTAGTCTTACTTTGCTCTTTTTGCTTTTTTGACTGTTTGAGACAGGGTCTCACTATGCAATCCAGAGTGGCCTCAAACACTAGATCCTTCCCCCTCAGCTTAAGTGCTAAAAGGTACTGCTTTTTTTTTTTTTTTTTTTTTTTTTTTTTTTTTGTCTTTAAACATCATCTTTTCCTATAGTCTGAGCTTGCTTGAATTTTCCACGTTTAATACTTTTTGCTCTCCATTTCTTCATACTGCTATTTTTCTTTTCTGAGCTTACTTTCTGAATATTTCAAATTATCTTAGCCTGATAGCTTGCCACATTTAGAGGTTTGCATGAGTCTTTTAGTGAATCTTATTTTACTTGATCCCTAGTTGTGTCCTTTTTGCTCCCAGTTTTGTAATTTTTTTGTGCTGATAATGCTTTTTATCTGTCTAACTTTTTGTTTTCCATACCAGCAATTTCTCTTTCTTCTTTTTACACTGACTTTTCTGATGGTCTCTTCCTGGTATCTTAAGTTAGATGCTCAATTCCTTCCTCCTTTCTTTCTTTCTTTCTTTTTTGAGACAGGGTTTCTCTGTAGCCCCAGCTGGCCTGGAACTCACTATGTAGACCAGGCTGGCCTTGAACTCACAGAGATCGACCTGCCTCTGCCTCTGAAGTGCTGGGATTAAAGGCATGTGCCACCATGCCTGGCCATTGTTCTGTTTTTTAATAAACACAGCTAATGCTATTAATTTCTTCCAAGTTCCAATTTAGCTTGTTATTCCATTTTAAATAATTATAATCTTATCCTTCTCTGTGAATTATTTAGAAAGTTATCAAACACTGGATTTCCTTGGTCAACTTTTATTGTTGATTTCTAATTTTACTATATTAGGATTGGAAAGTGTGACAGAATATTAATTTAATTTTATAGTATGGTTGATTATTAGAAAAAAATTTACTTCTTTTATTACCAAGTACATGGTACTTTTTTGTTTAGATGTAGCCCAGGCTGTTCTTGAATCAAAACAGAAAAAAATAAAAAAATCACTCCTACGGGGCCCAGAATGTTGTATAAGTCCCTAGAGTGTTGGAATTGTAGGCATGCACTGCCAAGTCTGTGCCCAAGTATGAAATATTTTTTTAATGTTCTGCATAAACTTGTAAACAATGCAGTTTGTTGACTTTGTATTTATCTAGAAATTAATCACATTCACTGTATTGCTTCAAATTTCTGTATCCTTATTAATGCTTTTCTACTTCATTCATTGTTTTTTAAAAGCTGAATACATGTTTCAATAAGATAAATATGTGCTGCAAGAAAAAATAATCAATCGATCCATTACATCCAATGGAAATAACCAATAATATATATAATATACATTACATATATATACAGGACTCCCATATCCCAGCTCCTGGTTAAATGTTGAAGAAGAGAATGGAGAGGAGGGCCATACAGATTCACAAAAGTATGAAGGAAATCACCGTATGAAAGAAATCACTGACCTCTGTTGTGGTTTTAATGAGAAATGTCCCCCATAGGCTCATGTACTTGAATACTTGGTCCCCAGTTGGTGGCACTGTTTGGGAGGTTACAGAACTTTTAGGAGGTACATCCTTGTTGGAGACAGTAAGTCACTGGAGTGGGCTTTCCTTTATAGGCTTGCCCCACTTTCTATTCTCTTTCTCTGTCTGTCTGTCTGTCTGTCTTTGTATGCGTGTGTTTCCTGTGTGTGGATTAAATGTGATTAGCCAGCTTCCCAGTCCAGATGCCTGCTGCCATATATTCCTTTGCATTATGGACACATAGTCTGGAACGATATGCCAAAATAAACTCTTCTATAAATTGTTTTTGGGTCATGGTATCTTATGACAGCAACAGAAAAGTAACTAATACAACCTTCTCATGCACCTTCACCCCTGCTACTACTGCACATGTACAAAGCTCATGCAGACCTCATGAAGGCCAATAACTGAAAAGAAAAATATTATTTTTATGTGTGTGAGTGTTTTGCTTGCATGTATATATAAGTGCACCATCTATATTCAATGCCCACAGGGGCCAAAAGAGAGCATCGGATTCCCTAGAACTGGAGTTCAATGGTTGTTAGCCACCATATGAGTGCAAGGAATCCAACCTAGGTCCTCTAGAAGAACAGCCAGTGCTTTTAATCACTGAGTCATCTCTCCAGCCCCTAAAAATGTTATTTTTAATTTAACGAATATATAGAGGGTTTTTTATGTCATCAAGACATATCTATAAAGGTGGACTATGATCATTCAAGGTTAAAGTAACTTTCACTTTGCATTTCAAGCACTATTTTGTTGCTTGGGAAAATATTAAAATCATTTCTATAAAGCTTAAGGAAACTAAGTAATGAGAAATAAACAGATATGAATTCTAATATCTACTCTGGCAATTTGAAATTTAACTTTGTGAGCTTTAAAATTTAATGCTAACATTGTCATAAGACTTATACTTAAGGTTGCTGTGAGAATTAAGTACCAGTGAAAAATCTACTAAAGTTTAAAATTATATTTGTCAAAATCAAATTCTCTGCTTTGTTCTTCATGAAAATGATACATTATAAAATTTAGAAAAGCATATCAGCTTTCAACTATCCATTTTCTTTACAGACAAGATAATCACAAATAAATGAAATAGGTAACTATTTCACTTTTGATAACACCCTCAAATTCTTCTATCAGAACATTAAAATAATACCAATTCAATATCAAATACTTCTTTTCCCCAATCACATTCTCCTTTAGAGATCACAAAAGGATCATTTTGAGGCTAGAGAGATTGCTCAGTGGTTAAGAGCACTGGCTGCTCTTGCACAGGACCCAGGTTCAGTTCCCAGCACCCACATGGGCAGCTAATAACCATCTGTAACTCCAGTTCTAGGGTATCTGACACCCTCTTCTGACCTCAGGCATTGCATGTTGCACTTACATACATGCAGGCAATAAATTAGTACACATAAAATAAAATTTTTTAAAGGATCAATTCATAAACTGAAGTGGTATTTCTCTTATATACTAAAATTCTGGATCTTTTAGCATAGTGAACAATTGTCTTAATGAGATATATTAACTGTCAAGTCTTAAAGTGTTTACTTATCTATAGTATACCAAAGATGAAATATAATGGAATTTTTCCACTTTTCGATCAGTTATCTGTTATTTGATACCAAGCTACATTCTATTTGAAATAAACTCTGTCTCCAAGTCCTAGTCCCATTCCGTATTTATATCAAGAAAAGCAAAACACCTTGGCAATGGAAAAATAAAAGATTCATTCTGTCCAAATCACCTTCCAAAACAGAGGTTGGCGACTTTTGCCATATATATATCGGAGTTTACAGTTTGCAAGCCATACATTGTCTCTTGCTATATTGTTCATTCTGCATACATACCTCACCTTTAACTTTTCAAAATGAAAAAAAAAAAAAAATTCTTGGCTCAAGTGTCCTACAAAGAGGGCTGCTGAGAAGACTCAGTGAGTAAAAACACTTAATGTAAGCCTGATACTGAGTTCCTTCCCCAAGACTTACATGTTAGAAAGAGAGAACCAACACCCACGAGTTGTCCATTACCTCAAGTAGTGTGCCATGGCACCCCCACACCCACATGCACACTAAATTAATAACGAAAAAAATGTAAATTTTTTAAAAGAATCCTACAAAGGTATAAAGTATTGAGGTTATTATTAAAGCTCTGGTTTCTAGAAATAAATATTTATACTGATAGAGAACAGAAAATATTGGTTTCATTATGCATTCAAAAACAACTAAGCTTAGGGGTGGAGACATAGCTCAGTAGCTGCTCTTGCAGAGGACCCGCGTTGGATTCCCAGCACCCACACAGTGGCTAACAACTGTCAGTAACTCCAGTTCAAGGGTATCCCATGCCCTCTTCTGACTTACTTGGGCACTGCATGACACAGATGCCCTTGCACGCAGGCAACACATTCATACACATAAAATTAAATAATAAAATATTTTTAAAATAACTAAGCTAATAAAATGTCAAACAAAAATAATGGACTAGGGAGATGGCTCTGTGGGTAAAGTGCTTGTTGTGCAAGCATGAATACCTGAGTTTTGATCCCTAGTACACACATAAAAAGCTCTATGTGGCAGCATGCATCTGTAAAACCCCAGTACTGGATGAGACTTTGTCTCAAAATTGAAATTGGACAACAAAAGAAGAAGACACCTATGCATAGGCACAGAGTTGCACACACTTACCTATGCACCCACCAAATAAATAAGTCCTCAAGATGTTTAGTTTATGCTTACCTTTGTCTATGGCATGAACCACAGCAGCCTGACAAATGGCTTGATAGGTTTCAAAACTCAAATAAGACAAAGCTGAGAATAAAAGTCCTCTCTTGATGGTTCTTGAGTTTCCTATCACCTATTGAAAATAATGTATCAAACTGTAAAACTCAGAAATTCTAAAGAAATTACTACTCCAAGTAAAATATATCCATTTTCCCCACCTCCAAAGCAATTAATTTTAAAAATGCTAGAAGCTTCAAAAAATACTTTAACAATTCTTCAGTAAAATTATTTCAAACCTTATATGCAGAGTGCATTTTAGTAATAATAGATACCACAAAGAAGTGATAATTTATCTAAAAGTCAATCACCACCTAGGAATAATTCAGTGTTCATAGAACACCATGGTTCCCAAGAACCTCAAAATGAATGAATGAATGCGTAAATGAATGAATAAATATAGTAACTGTTACACCATTATGGATATCTTTTACAGAGACAAAGGTATTATAAATTGTATGAAAGAAAATGATATACCAGCTCATAACAAATATCAGTATCATTAGGAGACAAGATAAATACAAATATAACTAATAATTAGTATACATAAAATTATATACAGCTCTCAGTGAAGATATTGTAAAAAAAAACATAGTTTTAAATAAATGATGACTAATAAACATATTCAAGACAAGTAGGGTGGCACATGCCTATAATCCTAGCACTCAGGAGACAGAGGCAGGAAGATCAAGGCCAGCCTCAGCTACATAGTGCTTCAAGTTTGAGGCTAGCCATGGTGGACCTGACACCCTGTCTCAAGCAACAAAATTCAGCAGATTTGGGAATTAATTTTCATAATTATGACCAGATACCTGAGACCAATGACAAAGATAAATACATATCACTCCTATAACTTTCCCCCTTTTCCCATGATTATTCTCTTTAACACAGTATCATTTTTCCTCTTCTGTCAAATCATTTCCATCAGCATAGAAACAAACTATGGGGCCCAAGATGTATTTACCTAAACTAGGTATTTTGTGCTGTTTCTCTTAAATCAGGTATTTTGTTATTTTAAATTCAAAAATACGTTTCTGAATGCCTGCTTAATACAACAGACATTCTGTGGTATGTAGGGGTCAGGAATCCAGGGGTGGCTTAATTTGGTCTCTAAGAGCTCTCATAAAGTTTAGTCAAGCCTTCAGCTATTGAGGTCTCATTTGAACTCTGGGGTTCCCCCACTCCCAGGTCCTTCCTAAGTGGCCAAGGTTGTGAAGCCCTGGTAATTCCCTTTTTTTTTTAAACCTGCATGCCAGATTGCAGGTGTGAGGTTTAACCTTTTCTTTCTTCCGTTTCTTCCCCCATCCCCCAAGACTCATCTTTAGAGAGTAGAATGGAAAGTTGTGCTTTCACTTTTATTTTACATAGTTTTACTCTTGGCTACCTTAGTATTTGATTAATGACATGTTTATATGTCACTAGATGCCATCACGAGCATCCTGAAATTCAACTTCTGATATGTCAGCTAGAGTGAAATGTGTGTTATTGTGAATAAAGTCAGGGACTTGTACAAGCTAGGCAGAAACGCACTAATAAGGAGTACGTAAATCTTCCCCTTTTCATTCTATTTCTTGTTGTAATATCATCCTCTTACACATTAGAAGTCCTGTGATGGACAGTAGGCCTTCTTCTTGGCTATTAAATACTTTCAATCTTTTATCTCGGCTTAAATATATAATTGTATCCTAAAGGCTCCTGTCTCTAGTCCAGACCTCAAAAGGCAACGCCAATCCATGTCAAGTTGGCTGACACATTTACTTCAGTCCAAAATGTAATTTATTTTTCCTTTACCCCGCACATTTCTTTTTGCAGTTGTAGCCCACTAAGTAGTACCATAATCTATTAGGCTGCTATAGTCACAAACTTAAAATGTTTTCCTTGACTATTTCTTTGTTGTTTTGAGATAGGGTCTTCCTGAAGCCCCAGCTGGCCTGGAACTTGCTATGTAGACCAGGCTAGCTGGACTTCAGAGGTATACCTGCCTTTGCCCCCCAAAGCATGCACCATCATACCCAGCTCCCTCTTTCTTAACCCCCACCATAAAGCTATCATTTAGATCTAATAATTCTACATCCTTTTTTTTTCAGTCTTTTTGAGACAGGGTTTCCCTGTAGCCCCAGCTGGCCTGGAACTTGCTAGGTAGACCAGACCTGCCTCAAACTCATAGAGATCTGCCTGCCTCTGCCTTCCAAGTGCTGGGACTAAAGGCATGCACCACCACACCCGACATTCAATACTTCTATATTCTTAAAACTATGAATGTACCTACTTACCTCCATTTCCAGTAAAGTTCAAGTCATCACATTTCTCATCTCTCCTACACCAGGCTCTCCCCACACTCACTGTACCCTATCCATTCTGACCACAGACAGTTGCTTTTTTTAATGAATATGGGATCAAACAACTTTCCTGTTTTAAAAGCTTTACTGATTTCCTATAACCGTTAGACTAAATCAGAAGTACTTACACTTTATAAGATCTTTGAGCTTTCTAACTCAATATTGTGTGTGTATGTATGATGTCTGTGCGTGCGAATACATAGAGTGCAGAGGTTAGAGACTACCTTTCCGGAGCCAGGTCGCTCCTTCCACCTGGGATTTCCTGAATGGGCAGGGCTGTTTAAAGTTTTTAGAACCTGGTTATGGTAGGCAGCCTTTCAAATGGCTTCTGATTCTGCCTTCTGATCTTCACTCCCTAGCCTGTTAACTTTCTCTTAAATGTACTGAGGATTTATCAAGTCTTTTACATGAAATAGAATACAACCAAGTAATGTCATTTACAAGACTAAGTGAAAAGACCACAAAGTTACACTCTCGAAGTTGTTCTATCTGTCCCTTTGCCTGCTCTAGGGAAAGTAAGCTGTCATGTCTATTGGCCGCAACAGCCTTGTGGAGAAAAGATTTACTACTGACAGCCATAGGTGTGAGCTTGGAAGCACAACTTTCCATTCTACTCTCTAAAGATGAGTCTTGGGGGATGGGGGAAGAAACGGAAGAAAGAAAAGGTTAAACCTCACACCTGCAATCTGGCATGCAGGTTTAAAAAAAAAAGGGAATTACCAGGGCTACACAACCTTGGCCACTTAGGAAGGACCTGGGAGTGGGGGAACCCCAGAGTTCAAATGAGACCTCAATAACTGAAGGCTTGACTAAATCTTATGAGAGCTCTTAGAGACCAAATTAAGCCACCCCTGGATTCCTGACCCCCACACACCACAGAATGTCTGTTGTATTAAGCAGGCATTCAAAAAGGTATTTCCGAATTTAAAATAACAAAATACCTAATTAAGAGAAACATAGCACAAAATGCCTAGTTTAGGTAAATACATCTTGGGCAGCAATGCCATCCCCTTTCAAGAATAAAAAGTTAGTCACGACCAGTTTAATTAAAATGCCAGAACTAGCCAGGCATAGTGGCACTTGGCACTCTGAAGAGAGATGCAAGCAGGTCTCCGCGGAGTTCAAGGCAACGTAACCCTACTTAACAAACAAAAGCAGCCAGAACTGAGATTACAATGAAAAAGCTAACTTCGGGAATATAAAACACAATCAAAGACACTTAAAAAAAGAAACCTACATTGTCTCTTACTTACAGGCATTTCCAAAGTCACACCCCAAACATTTTCTGTCGGAGGATACTACCGCTGAGCCACGCCCCTAGCCTGCCTGCCTTTTCACTTTTTGAGACCGGGGCTCACCGAGTTGCCCAGGCTACCCTTGACCTGGCTTTGTACCCTGAGCAGGACGTGAACTTGGCTACAATCCTTCTTCGGCCTCCAGTGGCTGGGGTGACTGAGGTAAGACCTTCAGTCCGGTAACTGAAAACACCTAGTTCACAGCGGTCAAAGTTCCTTCACCTTCCAGTTGTCTTTTCGGACAGGGAGGGGGGGGAGGACACCCCGCCGGGTTGGGTCGGAGGCGCGAGGTCAAGGCGGGAGCTGCAGGACGTCCCCGCCCGGGCGCCCGACTCCGTCCCGGAAGACGCCGGGAGGTCCCCGTGCGTGCGGCGCAGAGGGCAGACCCCGGGGGGCGGGTTACCTCGCAGCCGCGGAACGGCCGGGTGCCGCGGTGTTCGTGGCTGCCCCGAGTCTTCAGGCTCCAGGCGTCGGGGGCGGCTCCGCGTCGCAGAGGGAGAAGGCGCCAGAGCCGTGGGGCCAGCGCCATGACGAACCCCACAGCGGCCGATCCTAGCATTAACGCCGAGAGGCTGAGCGGCCCCGGGGCCACAGGCCTCCCTGACAGACCCCCGTCTCTCGCTTCCGGGCCGGCGCCTGCACAGAGCCTGTAGATTCCAGTCCTCCGGTTCCGTGACCGGAAATAACTTGATTAGGTGGGCGTGAACCAGTGAGCCACCGCGTTTGAGCACAGCAGTCCGAGGCGTGCGCGCGCCCTCTATAGGCCACTGTCTACCCTCTGTTGCAATTCTTCCAGGAACTTTCCTGCCTTGGGCAGAAGAGCAATTAACAGAATGGAATTAAAGATCTCAAGTAGACCCAATAGGGCTGGAGAAGTGGCCTAGCCATTAAGGGCACCTGCTGGTCTTGCAGAGGACCCAGGTTCCGTCTCGAACACTGACACGACGGCTAAAAACTGTAACTCCAGTTCTAACACCCTCTTTTGGCCTCCATGGGCTTTGCATGATACAGGTGCACTACATACATGCAGGCAAAACACTCATACACATAAAAATAAACCAACGAGACCCCAAAAGAAATATATGGAAGAAAAAGTGATTTTTCCTTGATTCTCCATATCCCTCGAACGTAAAGTGTATTCTGGCACTAAAGTGTTCTGGGGACTGGTGAGATGGCTCAGCAGGTAAGTATCCTTACTGACAAGTCTGACTACCTGGGTTTAATCCCCAGTACCCACATGGTAGTAGGAGAGAACCCACTCCTGCAAGTTGTCCTCTGACCACCACTGTAGCACATGTGCGTGTGTGCACATACACACACACACACCACACACTACATGCACATGCACACACTTTTTTTTTAAAGTGACCTTTTTGGATTTTTATCCATGCTTGGATGAATTGTCCCTCATAAGAGAAAGGAAAAGAAAAAATTCTAGAGGCTGGAGGTTGTGAGTAAAGAGGGGAGAAGTCACAGAAGACAAAAGCAAAGAAAGCGAAGTCTGGAACTGGAGAGATGGCTCAAAGGTTAAGGGCACTGGCTGATTGTGCAGAGGACCCATGTTCAGTTCCCAGCACCCACATGGCAACTAACAATCATTAATAAATCCAGTTCCAGTGAATCAGATGCCCTCTTCTGGCCTTCATGGGCATTGCATGGCATGGATGCACTTACATGCAGGCAAACACTCATATACATTAAATAAATAATAAATAAATAAATAAATAAATAAATAACAAAACGTTTAAAAGGAAGAAAAGCCCCAGCTGGTCTTAGTTAAAAAAGACTAAGAAGGATGTGAAGACTGTCTGTCTGTGACAACTAGTGTCATTGATCACTAGGGTTGATTAGGCTGATCTGAATGGCTAGGTGGTGTCCCCTTCTTCCCTCAACACTCCATGTGTGCATCTCCAGAAGCCACATGGGATGAAGAGGACAACCTTCCCTGATACAGGAAGACTCATCTTCAGTCAAGGATACACAAGTAGCTGTGTTCCCCTGCTAGAACCTCCAAACAAGCTCCCAAGAAAAACTAGGACAGAAGTAGTTTTAACAAGTAGGGAAGACAGGGGAATGTTCCTCAGAATTCTTACCTAGCATTCAGGAAGTCCTGGGTTCTAGCACCAGCACTGCATCAACCTGATGTAGTGGCACATGCCTGTAATTCTAAAAGCAAGGAGGAAATGCATAATCAAGCATTGATTCTCAAGCTCATCCTTGGTTACATAGTGAATAGTGGAATGAAAAAAATTGATATCTAAAATATCAGCACTATTGCTTTGAGTTTCAGGACAGCCTGGGCAACATGGTGAATTCCAGGCCATTCTGGACAACAGAGAAACCCTATAAGATTATCAATAAAAGAAAACAAAACATTCATATAAATAAACAGATAGAAGATACCCCATCCTGATACTTTGCTGGGTGGAGAATGCTAAGAAAAAATACAAGTTGTATCCTAGAGATGGCAAATAAATCAAATTGAATTTAACTGACAGTTTTTAAATGTCTTACATTTATTAAATGCGTATTTGATAAAGGTGTGATGCTGTGCTTGGAATCTCCATGACATTTAATCACTTCTTTATGTCATTATCTCATTTAATCATTGTCATTTTATGAATAAGGAACTCATGCTTCAGCATGGCTATGAATTTCCCAGAGTCACCCATGCCAATGAGAAAAATGATACTTGGTGTTCAATCCAAGCATCCTAGCACTAAAGGCATCAGTTCTTCTATTACATCATGCTAATGTCACTGAAGAGTGGAAAAATATGCCTTCAAGCATTGCAGTAGACTGGAAAGTGTAAGACACATTCTGGATCTTGTTCCAAAACATTATCATATTGGTCACTAGTTGTCCAAAAGATTAACTATGATTTGATAATAATAACACATTCATATACATATGCTTGAAAACACCATGCCACGTTTAATATATGCAAGTTTTTTGACTTTCATACAATAAATGACAAAATAAATTATATTAAAAATATAAAAATTCTCAATTCTTATTGAGTCCTAGTCTTTTTTCCAGAAGGAACCACTTTTATTTTACATATTTTTACTATTGGCTACTAGATGCCATCACGAGCATCCTGAAATTCAACTTCTGATACGTCAGCTAGAGTGAAATGTGTGTTATTGTGAATAAAGTCAGGGCCTTGTACAAGCTAGGCAAATACTGCACCGTCCGGCTGAACGCACAAATGCACTAATAATGTTTAGTATAATATATTCTATTTAACAGACTAATACGTTTATCTGAAATTCAGATTTAACTAGACATGTTAAATTTGTCAGGTAATGCTACTTGTTTTTCCATGGTTAGGAATCGTTAGTTTAGGGAGTGGAGCTGTAGCTCAGGTAGAAGGGTGCCTACCTTGCCTGTATGAGACCATAGTTTCAATCCTCAGCTTTGCCAATAACAGCACTGTACTATATATATGCATGTATATGTGTGTTTTACACACACACACACACACACACACACACACACAGCCCCTTCATTTGGAATTTGGTTATGCCCTTGTGTCAACTCAGATCATGCATTTTTTGGCAGAGGTACCCTTTCTATGCCTTCACATATTTATGCTTTTGTTATTATTTTTCCCTATTCCTGGAAAAATGGCATTTTCTTTGTGTGCATGAGCTTGAACCCAGGGCCTTGCACCTGTGCTCTACCACTGAGCTTTAACCCCCAGCATGAAATCTGTTTGAAAAGCAGATTTGAGGGCTGAGCATGGTAGCACATGCCTTTAATCCCAGCACTAGGAGGCAGAGGCAGGAAGATCTCTGTGAATATGAGGCCAGCTTTGTTTACATAGCAGCAAACAAACAATAAAAAACACAGACTTGAAAGGCTGGTGGTGTAACTCTGTAGTGCTTGCCTGGCATGAGCAAGGTCCTGGGTTTGGGCCCTGGCCCTGTAAGAAAAGGAGAAAGATGAGACACTTAATTCCCTTTTTTTTCCCTTTTGAGATAGGGTCTCCCTGTAGCCCCAGCTAGTCTGGAACTTGCTATGTAGACAGAGATCTGCCTGCCTCTGCCTCCTGAGTGCTAGGATTAAAGGCCGTTACCACACCTGGCTTTCATTCCCCTTAATAAATGTTATTGTTCTACTCTCCAAGCTCCCACCATCTATGCTATCTGCTCTCTTTCATGTCTCTTTAGCTTCCATTCTCTCTGTGTGTCATGTTGTGTCCCCTCCCCCCAACATACACATACCTCAGCAGGTTTCAGCTCTTCTGTCTTTCTCCCCTTCGGCAAGCCTCAGGTTCACTACATGATATTCTTTCTGTTAGAAATCCTTGCCATTTCACTACCAAAAACTTTCTCCCTTTCCCTACATGACTAAACTCTTTCTTACCTGGCTAATTTCAATTTAATTTTCAGCCCTCAATTTAAATGTTACTTTCATGGAGAAGCTTCTCTTGAGTCCTCCTAAATTTATTTTAATTTTCTTCATGTTCTAAGCACAATTCATTTAATTTTATTTTTACCT